ATCATCCAAAGATTATCAATAGAAATGATAACTGCGGATAAAAAATTGTAATTTTTCCGCAATGTATAATCATTATAACATATAATAGTATATAAATTTATCTATGTAGCATTTACATGACAAAAGATCATAAATTTAATAATATATTATCCAAATATTTATATAATATTTATATAAAATACTATTTTTATATAAAAAATAGAAATATTTTGTATATGTTAGTATATCATCGCAAACTTATATCAATTATCGATAATGTCATCGTTCTTCTATTATCTCCGAATTCTCGAAGCCCTATTGATATTCACGAAAATTTGCTCAGGACCAACCATCTTTAATATCTCGTTGGTGTAACCTTTGCAGAGTAAAGCCAGCAACACACTTTTTTTAATATCGCCCAATAACAGCGCATTATCTATGTAACAACCAATCGCGTGTTTCAGCTAAAATGGCGCAACCAATCATTCTTTCCCAACTGAACTTTTTCTTCTTTCTATCATTTTTCTCTCTTCTGATCGTTTGTGTAACATGCAATACCGAATCTACTTCTTTACATATCTATGATCTAACGGATCTAACCGAAATTCAAAATATTTGAACTAACCTTATCAAAATTTAAATAGTCACATTGTTGTATCACGTTGTATTTTGCTTCAAAAGAAACCAAGTATCATTAAAGAAGAAAAAGAAATTTGGAAAAGGATTCGAGATGTCGGAATTGTATGGTGAGAGCGTGAATAACACGAAGATCGAGGAACATCTAGAAAAGAGCGTGATTAGTCAGGATGATTATAAAAAGATGAAGCAAGAGAATGAGAATTATCGACAGGAGTTGTATGTTTTGCGACTTAAATTGGAAACTTCCGACGCGATTGTAAGAGATCTTCAAGATTGTGGAGAGACTTTGGAAAATAATTTCAAAGAATACGTACGGCAAGTAACCGTGTCATCTTCCGAGAAACAAGAAAAGTAAGGATCATATATATTTTTTTTTAAATTATACAAAGTGAATACAAGCAGGTGCTTTTGGAATTTTTACTTTCGACAGTTAAAACATACTTTTACGTCAAGTCTTTGTTTATTGCATTTTTGATGTATTAACTTGGGGCAAGTTGTGATCCTTAATTTAACTGAAAGTCGCAGTGTATCTGAAGAATACAAATATCTTAAGTCTGACAGTATTGATAGAGTTATCTTTTGCAACAAAAAAAATGTTATGTTTTATAACAATTCATTAAAATTTATATTTTTCTGCTTCATATTGTAATATGATTGACCGACTATCTATCCAATCACATATGATATATTAGAATCTTAATAACTCGTGTAACAGCTTCTGTTTATCCAATAAATAAGAGGTGTCACTTGAAGATATTTATAAATATGTTTTATACATATCTCAGATATACCGCAATCTCCTGATGATTAATTAAAAAAACAGAATTAAATGTTTTGATACATATTTATTTTTTATTTTTCAATCAAGATTTTTTATGTGTCAGTTATGTTAACAATGAAATTAACAATTGAAACTTATTGTTTATTATATATTGTACATTTATATGCTTCATATATTTTATTCATTTATAGGTATAAAGCTGAGCAAAAAGAATATGAAAATCATATTGCAAATCTAGAAACAAACCAAGTAAAAAATGAATTAGAAATTAAAGAATTACAGAAAGAGTTGAAGAAATATAAAGATCTTGTAAATAATCAATCATCTAATGCAATGGCAGATACTTTAACAGTGTATAAAGAGGAACTTAGGGAAACATATATGCTGCTCCAAAATGAAAAAGAGAAGTTTCTTCAAAAAGAAAAAAAAGAAAAGACATTGATGGATAAACTTACATATAGAGAGATTCAATATGAAGAGCTTCGACTTGATTTACAAGTAAAATAATAAGTTATGATTTATATTTATTGATTGTAATACATCATGCTAATTGGAAACATTTTAATAGAAAATAACAAAGGATCTAGCGGAAAAAAATAAAGAATTGGAAAATGCACGGGAATCTACTAGAGAATTAGTTGCGAAACTTGAAGAATTGGAGTCATCAAATATAACTCCTGCTAGTGATATATGCAAAGGTAATTTGTATATATTCAATTGTATATAGATTTTTTAACGTTCATACTATTTTAGGAAATTCTTTATTTGCCGAAGTTGAAGATCGTCGGCAAATGTTGTTGGATAAAATGAAAATGCTTTCCACTAAATATAATGAAGCAAAGCAAGCATTGGATTCGAAATCAAGTGAAATCAAGCTACTAAGAGCAGAGAAAATCGCCATTTCCAGGAAATGGGAAACTGATATAGTTGATACATTGCAAGAGAATGCAGATCTTTTGGTTAAATATAAGAGTAGAATCTTTGATCTTGAGAATAAGTTGAAGGTTGAAATGAAAAAAAATGATGAAATGGAAGAAACACAATTTGCAAACGATGACTTTAAGTAAATTAAGAACACATTTCTGTTTTTCAGCTAATCTGAATTAATATATATATATCGTTTATATAATAAAAAGTCAAATTTAATTTTCAGTTACGCTCAATCATTGTTAGCCGCTAAAAAGAAAGAACTTAAGGAGCTGAATGAAAAAATTGAGAAACAAACTATGCAGATGCTGATGCAAGAGGAAGTGAACAATAACATTTCAAGACAACTTCGTTACTGGCAATCTAAAACAAAATTTTTGGAAGTAAGTTTCTACAAAAAAAAGAAATTGTTGAAGAAATCTTTGCTGTTTAAAATTTTTTTATATAAAATCTCTTTTATACATTCTAGGCTCAAAACAAGGTCATAAAAGACCAACTGGAAATGCAAGATAAATGTGATAATAAAATACTTCTTGAATCTATAAAGAATTACACATTTCCTGATAACGCGAATTTTGAAAAGACTTGTAGTGATTCACTTACATCTCATGAGCTCATGCCAAAGAATATTCTCGAGTTTGAACTTGCAGAGCAAGGAAATTCAACAGAGATGATAGAAAAACCAGTAAAGTTTGCAAATGAACAGAAAGAATGTAGAAAATTTGTAGATTTTACTAGTGATACTAAAAACTCTGAGAATAAATCTTTGAAAAAACATGAAAAAACGAAAAAACGTGACTATCCTATTATAGTTCATACAATTGATAATGATAACTTAAATTAATTTTATTTGACGCAAAAATGCGTCAAATGAGCCTAAATTCATCGAAATCAGAGGCTTCTTCTGAAGAATTATCTAAATTAATTTTGTACTGTACGGCATTATATATTATATTAGCGTTTTATCAAATAACTATTTATTATTTGATAAATTGTTTGATATATTAGGTGTAGTAAAAACAAATCCATTATTTTTCCATTCAATTTCATGCAAAAATAATGGATTTCTTTTTACTACACCTAATATATACATATACATATAGATATATACATATATACATAAGTGAAAAACATGGAATTATCAAAGTAGAGAAAAATAATTAGATAAGGATAAATGGATAAGATGTAAATATATTTTTTAAGTATAATTTAATAAAAACGCACAAGCTATTTTATATCTTTTTAAAATTGTGTTTTACTATTTATCTCTTTCCTATTCAACGCGGACCAATCACAGACTTCTAAAAATTGCCGATTTCACCTTCATGTTTAAAAACAGTACCACATAAGTGTTCACTCATTCTCACATGTAAAAATCACGGATAATAAAAAATCCTTAAAAATCTTTTATTTATGTTTTCACATAATATGATAATTATAATATAATTCACAGCAAGACATAAATACACATACACGTGAACTAAACAAGGATAGCTCGGAAGCTCAGATTCATCTCTTTTTATCATAATTAGTCGACAGTTTATAGAAGTTGTGGGACCAACGTGCGAACAATATGTTAAATTTTACTTCTTTTCGTCAGAGGACTCGCCTGTCGACGCGAGTCGCATCTTCATAAGTTATACACATCGATACAGTAGTTTGCTGGCAGCACGCAATTTCTTTTGTCGTGTTTAGATAAATTGTCGCTGTTTATTACAAAGATTCGTTTTTCTTGAATTAAATTCGATGACAGCAAGAATTATTAAGATCATATTCTGCACAAAAATTACGAAACTATTTGCTAGCGTTTGAATCAACATCTATTACGAGAAAAAGTGAATTCAACACGAACTTTATTATGTTGTTTCTCGCATTGATTATGATGTTTAAGACATAATTAAGGTATTTGTAAAACAGTTAAATAATGGAGCATTCAAAGAGAACCTCACTTGATGAGGAGCCAAAAATTCTTGAACCTGTTTTAGTAAAAATTGTCACGAACGAACGCATAAATATCGACAAAAATGAGGTAAGGAATAAGTCAATATGTAATGTTAGAAGAATTCATATTGAATGGATATTAAAGATATTTTTACAATGTTGCTTGAAGACTCGTTTCCACATTTTTTGAACGTGTAGAATATAATTTTTTTTCTTTTTATATAGTTTAAAATTGGACGTGCCAGAGATAATGATGAAATAATATTGGATGTCATGATATCTAGAAGACACTGCATTTTTAGATGTATAGGCCAGGATGAATGGACGCTTAAGGATTTAAGCTCTAGTGGAACATTTGTCAATGGTAATGCCATTGGCTTTGGTGAAGTACAAAATGTTCGTCCTGGTGATACTATACAATTTAGTCCTAATGAAACGTTTATATATGTATTTACTCTTACCGAGAAAGATCATTGTATCAAGAAAGCACGTATAGATGAAAAGATACTCGACACTGTACTTGTCAAGCAAAGAACGTTTGCCGAAAATCAAGAATGTCAAAGAAAAGCACTAAAAAATAAGCTTGAAATAAACCAAAAAGAGCAAGTCAAGTTAAAGCAGCAACTTGAAGATCTATTGTCTCAACAAGCTATGGCTAAAGATGATAATGAGAATTTATTAAAACAAGTTATCATATTAGAAGAAAAAATAAAGACATGTAATTCTCAAGAAGAACATCTGAATAATATGTATTCTCAGCTATTGCAAAAGTTGGAGAATGAAAGGCTGCAGTTTGAAGCAAGGCTAAATGAGGAGAAACAGAAATGGCAAGAAGCATTAGACATGAGTAAGCAAGAAAAAGAGATGCTGGAAATAAAAATGAAAGATCAAATGGAAAAATGGAGAGAAGAACAGCAAGTAGAATGGAAAAACATGATGGAGAGCAAGGTAAAGGAAGAGAAAAACATTCAGGCCCGGTTAATGAATGAGAAGACTATGTTAGAAGAAAAATTGAAAAACCATGTGAATGAAAAGACCATGTTAGAAGAAAAATTGAAAGAAACAGAGAAAGCCTTAAAGAAACAAGAAGCCAAAGCAGAAATTTCGCAAGCAATATTGAATAGTATGTTGTAATAAATTTGTTTACAAATGTACATTGATTGTTTTCTACATTTATATAATATTATTTTTAATAGTGTGTTTTTTATTAAAACTTTAAAACAATTGTTTATTATACACTACTAAATCATTGATATTTTTTTTTTCAGTAAATACATCAGGCGAAATTGCAAGTACATCAGAGTGTATATTCTTAAACTTGAATGGTGATCAATTCGAGGTTCCACAATATGAAATAATAGACACGATAGATCTAACGGAAATAAGTCAAAATATCCTAGAGACTAGTATTAATGAAAATATTCTTGGAAAAGTTAGCAATATTATGGATGAACAATTGACATGTGCCATATGCTCAGAATTATTTATTAAAGCAACAACATTGAATTGTACACATACATTTTGTCACCACTGCATAAATTCATGGAATAAGAAACAGAAAAGTTGTCCTGTCTGTAGGAAGCCAGTAATATCGATGATTAGATCATTAGTTTTAGATAATTTTATTGAAAGTATGATCGATAACTTGCCTATTGAACTTAAAAACAGAAGAAAAGAAATTATACAAGAAAGAGAAGGTAAAGTTTTAATTATAATAATATGTTTTATACATTAAATATGGCACTCTCTAATTTAATTATTTAATTTGTCTGATCTATATATATATATATATACTTCTGTTTCAGTATTAACAACGAAAAAAAGGAGGTATTAAAGTGCAAGTTGCACGATGGATAATATTTTATTTAATATGAACTAATATTTTTATTTTTATGTTAAATATATCCTAAGAAGAATATTTATTACTGTCTAATTGATTGATAATTTGTACACTGAATATTGATGAAGTTTTGCTCTCTACGATCAGTATTCATAGTTCCTATTTCAAGATCTTAAATAATAGCTTAAAATGCTATGACTCCCTTTGATTAGTGCATAACTTATCCAGAGTGAACCAGTTTTTTATTCTATGAGAAAATTATCGATTGTATATAATTCAATAGGTATATAATTCGATAGGTATTCAATAGGTATCAATAATTTTCTCATAGGGTAAA